TATATATATATATATATATATATATATATGCCTATATATATATAGTATGCACACATGAAAGACCAATTGTCATAATGCATTGAAAATTGTCAAAATATTGTGGAACATTAACCACATTATCTACATTAAATGGGCGAGTACCAATTACCAATCTCATCTACTGTTTTTGAAAGTGCTTAATAGTCTGTTCACTGCTCAGCCATAAAAAAAGAAATTTCATATATATATATATATATATATATATATATAATTATATATATAGTACATATGTATAGTACATACATAATGTATATATGTATAATTATGTATAAGTATTTCAGGCTCATCTTTCAAGTAGCAGTGCATACCGTCGCTAGGTGTCAGTAGTGTGTAAACGCACCTTAATACAACACGTCCACTTTAATGGTTTTCTGAGAATCAAATGAGGTTAACGAGCCAGTAAACATCTATTGCAGTTGTGCGTTTACACTAGACTAATTTTCCCAATGTGTAAAACAAAATAAAGAATAAGAAATGAGATCTTAACGCGTTGTTATGCACTGTTTATTGCATGCGCCCAATTCTCTTGAATACCACATTTAGAGTAGCTTAGTTGTAATGTGGACTGTCGTAACTTTTAATCAGTATTTAACTTACATATTTTTGCAATTTATAGGCCTAATTGTTGAAGCTAAATAGTTTATTACCCTATGATATCCTGTTGCTCACACATTGTGTTGAATCTAAGACTTCACATTTATTTATTGATCAATCAATAAAAACAGATAAAAAAGACAGGATATAATAAAAATGATGAAAAAAACAACCAAAAAAATAATCAAAAGAGCTTGAAATCTACTTGTTAATTGTGTGCTGTTGTTTGATGTTGCACATTTCAATTATCTATTTCCTTTCTTTATATTTTTAATGGATAGAGAGGATCGGGATGGCATGACGCATTAGGCGAGACTACTTTTCACTGTTGGCCGTTAGACGCTGGAGATGAGGACAAAAACAATTACATTAATTGTGAGGAAAAAGGTAATCTAATTTCTTGTGATTTGCTTCCCCTGGTCCCCCCTGTATTATCCTTTGCTTCTGTATTATCATTTGTGATTTTAAGGTTTTTACTGCTCCTTCACTTGGAAGTTTGCTTTATTGTTTGGTTTTGAGATGATATTTGGCATGGTGACGAATGCAATGGGAGGAAACATTTTTTTTTCATTATCAGTGGTTGCCCAGGTGAGAAAGACCTGTCTATCCCCTCCAACGTTAGGGAAAAAAATTTAGGGTTGGATTGTACTTTTGTAAAGGATATTTAAGAGAAATTAATTTTGTGTTTATTCCAATATATTTAGGATGTTAATTTTATAACCCAATAGTTTCATTTAATTGTCAGATATGATCATTCCAGGTAATAATAAGGTTTTTATCGATTTGAAGTCTTCCTAAATAACTGACGTTTTTTTTTACTACATCGAGGGTTTCACTACCAACATGAAAATTCAACTAGGAAAATTGGCGAATAGCCTATTTCTATTTTAAATTAATATAAGTTTTGTTTTGCTAGAAGTTACACGCAATTTATTGAGGGGTGCGCCAGTGCTCATTATCGATTGTGCTTTAGGAATACAAAATTTGACTTTTTAAACAATAGATATTTATTTTGATATTCCAACAGGCTTATCGTTTTCTTGGGTAGAAAAACCTCCCACAACAGTTACAGCTGAAAAAACGTTCGAAGTCAAGTATTCTATCACCGCTAATGATAAATTCTTCGAGTGGGCTATCAACCCAGATTCGGAGTACGCTCGGGATTACGGTATCATTCTTAATTTCAGGTAAGAACTGTTATTAACAGTTCAAATCTAGGCCTATTACAAGGAGGATGTGTTTGCCATATATTACTATTTACATTATGACAAAATGTATAATTATCAATATAATTATTATAATTGTACTATTTTATAATTTAATATGTAGGCTTATATACAATATGTAATATGTCTATATATGTAATTAGCCCAATAGACCAATTATCACCATCATCATTATGTGCGCTATTTAAACATAAAAAAGAGGCCTATGCGTATTTATATAAAAATAAATTAACCCGGTTGGCCGAACGGTTAAGACAGGGGAACCGTGACGTACAGCCATAATATCGGCGTTGGTTCGAACGGCACGCTCGCCTATGGTTCTGGTGGTGGAACAAGTCTTCTCGGATAAGGACTATAAACCGTAGGCCCAGTGTACACAATTGGCTCGTGTGCACTTTAAAGAACCCAGTACATCATTCGAGAAGAGTAGGGAGTTATCCCGGTGTACTGGTCCATTTCTAGTCCCCGTCCGGTCACAGAAGGAGCATTTACGTCGCGGCCCATGTCAGGTATCCATCACCTGCAAATCCTTCTACCACACTACGTAAGCAAGATGATACACACTAGCTACGTAGTGACTCGATAAGAAGAAGAACCCGAGTTTGTGTGTTTACTTCAATGATTAAAAACAGTTATACTGCTCTGATGTGACTTTCATTTTTTATTAAACTTTATTATTTAAAGTAATAATTTGATTCATTTCAGTTCTATAGCCCTGGCAAAGGAATTTTGTTATAATGTGTCCTGCCCAGCTGAGGACCAAAACACGGACAATTGCTGTTTGCATCATGTTAATGTCCACTCGTGTCCACAGGATGAGGTAACCTAAGAATCTCCATTAAATTAGCAGGCCAATGTGTTGTTTAAGTTGTAGGTTGATGTTATAGGACGTAAAAGAAATTATTTTGATTATTAGGCTTAATGTCATGCAGTCAAATATATTGTTTTTATGTACTATATAGTTTTCCAATGACTCATTAGAAAAATTAGAAAATAATAACGTCCTAGTTGCAAATGGATATTTATACTAGCATCCATGGCTTAAATAAATCTAATAAAAAAAAAAACCCTATTCACAGTTCGGATTCAAGAGGGGCTAGTCACCCTCCAAAAATTTGGTTACTTTCTTATAGGGGAAAAAAGAAAATCACATTGAAATTTGCCTAAGCCGGGACCGTCGGTCGACGAATCAATGTCCGCGCTTTGTCATAAAATCGGGTTGGTTGACCGACGAGGGTTGGCGCTCTGTGTGCCGGGCTTAAGTGTCTACTTAAGCTGCATTTTGATCAGATCCGCCGAACGCAAGCGTCCCTATTCTTACACAATGGTTCGATTTTTTGATCGGTTCATTAGGCCTTCCGATCCGAAAATCCGGATTCGGTGTGAATGTAGGCCTACCTTTAGGTCTCATAGAGGTGCCATCGTCATTAAAATTCCTACCAGAACCCCAATGATGGTGTGGCTAAAATGGGCTGGACTCTTGATCTGTAATAGTCTCTCCCTGGCGTTCTGCTCGAATTCCTGGACCCGCTAATGATTCCTAAATACCTTAGGCCTCCTCCACGTCGACAGGACTGCATTTTGGTATACTTAGAGAGTGCCATTAAAACAGTCTTGAATGACGCTCGTAATAAATCTGTTCTTGTTTTTAGATAAAGGGTACTATCTGTGGACCATGGATTCCTCCGAACGGTGAAATATTTACTCACACCCAAGAGGAGGTTGGTAACTTAGCATCACCAGTATGGACTACCGATGTCGCATTACTCACCCCGGGATTGACTTCAATCATTGCACACATACGGATAGGCAACATTCAGGCAGCTCTACACTACGCGCTGGAGGTAGAAGAGGCAGTCGGTAAATAACCATACTTGTTTTTAAATGTTATATCACGATCCTATGTTAGCAACCATCAAGTCAATTCAAAACTGTTTTTCCCTGGTGAACTTTTGACGTTCCTTCACATTCATTTATCCATACATAAACCATGCATTGTTTCCCTGTCTAACATATCGAACACCTCCACTGTTATGTTTGGTCGTCGTCATATTTTGTTTTCTTTGATTTACAGTTTTATAAATGAAATTTAGTATTCTTAACCACATTCTTAAGATCACTTGAAATGTTACACACATTTTTCCCCACTGTTCGAACAATCTTTTTTGTCACCAAGCGACCGAAGTCCAACACCTGTTTTGCCAGTTGGTGTAGGAAACAGCATGATCACGTGAACAGCTGTAGGATGTAAGAAAATATCGACTTCGAATTCTTCATATTTCGCACGTTACGCATCGGTGCAACGCACAGAGTTTAACTCAATCTGTTAACTCAAAGCCTCTGCTCTAACTCCCAAAATGTTATATTTTAAACTAAAATCAAAGATGGAGTCGTATCTTTCCGATCATTTGTAGTGGTGGAGTGCGAGAGTGTTTATTTAGGAGGCAAAATATTAATCAAAGCTTTAAGTATCGAAAGGAAGGCATTTCATGATGGTTTGTCCTTTTTGTGAAAAGAATGAATAAGTCTTACTGTTGTCATCATACTCTAGACCTATGTATTCTTCCTATTTGGAAAACTTGATTATTCACTGTTGTTCTCCCTTTTACCAAAGCTTTTCCTATATTTTATCATAGACATAAATTGTTAAATATAAGTCGTTCCAAATCCACACGCTACCATTCAGACAATTATATGGTGGTTAGCAAATTTATAATATTTTAACTGTAAGTCGAATGCTAACTTATTTATATAGACATACACTTTAAAAGCACACACTGCAACGGAGCATTTCCCATGCCACATTATTGTTTTATGAGTACTCACAAAAGTCAATACTATACACACTAATTTAATTCCAAGTACTCGTCTTGTGAAGAGAGGTAAAGCGATAAAGTACCTTCCTTGCCCAAGGATAAAGACAATGTGACTTACGTCCGATTCGAACTCACGACCTTTTAAATGAGAGCCCGAATCCATATTACTGCGCCACATGGTTCCAACCAATTGTTACGTCCTGGCACACTGACAACGTCTAGTTTAATTACATTAATGTATTTCATACGCCACATCTTTCGTTTATACTCTAAAGATTTAGTCATTTAGATGAGTGTATTCTGACAGTTATGCGCAATCAAAAACTGAAATGATATTAGCGAGCCTACTTTTGAAAATACTATGTTTATTATGGTGCTCTCATCTCAATGTAAAAGTCTAAAGCAACCCAAACTTCGTCTCTCTCCTCCCTTTTAAAGAAACACAACAAGTGTACAAATATTATGCTTCGCGTTATCTTAGCAAATCCGGAATGTTTAATTTATTTACTTGAATGTGTTGATGTCTTCAAATTTTCAATGGCCTGATTGAATTGTAAATAATCCCCAACATAATTAGACCGCCAAAACGAGAAATTTAGAGCATTGGGATTTATTTACTGTATCAAATTTATTATTCACATTCATGAGATAATTCAATTTTCTGTTAGAACCATGTCATCGCTTTTGTGCATGCGTTGTTGAGTTGGATAATAACATCGTCAGATATTATATTTACCAGAATGCAAATTTCGTCGCAATTACGTCAACACAGAGTGCCGGTATCTAACGTTGCCGTTCCATCAACACTGACAGAACGTCGCAGTCGCGTCAATACAAGCATCTCACGACGCAGTTATCGAATTCCGGAAGACAAATAGACCGATGATGACAACACCTGCATTATTTTATCGGGGTGGAACTTTATATACTAGAACACTCCCACCTGCTTGGCTGGAATTAAAGTAAATTAACGAAGATGTTTGGTCGTAATTAGAGATCTACGGAAACGTCAAACGAAATTAACAGGAATATCTTAGGCCTAATATAATGAACGGAAGCGTGCTCAGTTGTTCATCACTGGCGATCACACTAAGAATTCATACAATGCCAAATTTGGCGTTCACTCGATTATAATACGATTATTTATTACCATAAAATTGTTATTAAAATTCATTTTATAATTATAAGTAATAATAATATGCTATCAATTGTTGGTAGTCATTGACTAGGCAATCAAAGTTGGTGTAAATACTTCTTATGATTATTAGATAGAAATGAGTAATCGTCCTGTTAATCTAAGCATACTATTAATTATCCTTACTAATTTAACATAAATCTGAACAAACAGAAGTGTGTGGTCGTTTTTTCCATTGTTTTCTTACCCTTTCTTTCTATTTTTTCTGTTTACCTTCTTTCCCCTTTCATTTTCCTTTTTATTGGTATCCTTATATTTTCTTTCCTTTTAGGCCTATATTCCTTCCTTCCTTATTATACCTTACATTATTTTTTCTAAAGTAAAATGTAGTAACTCATTTTGGGCTTGGCGTTTGGGTCCCTGCGAAACTGCTGTTCAGTCAGTGGTGCTTTTTGTACTTTTCATTGAGTGGACTACGTTCTTTATATAATATGCTTACACATAAACCATCCGCCGATTAAACGTACTCCCCATTATCCTTAACACAAACAGTGGATCCGCAAGTTTTAACCAACTATGCCATTCTACTATCTACTGAAAATGCTAAAGAATTGGAAGAAAATAACACTAAAATGATTAAAAAAAAATATTACACACCATTTCTCTTTTGACATAGGCCTACCATTTTCGACATTCGACATTGATTTGCAATTATTCACTGCATTGATGGATGAATCCAAGCGCTTAGCAGTACACCTAATCATACGCTATATGCTTGAGATTTCTGTTATGTCTGATAATAACAATAATGTATTAACTCGATTTAGTTTTAAAACTCAACCTTCACCGCGTGTACTTTTGATATGATACTTTCCGCTCAAGTTGGCTTTCATGACAGTTATGTTCAACCTGTTCTATGATATATCTTAATCAAACCATGACAACTCGTATTAGCTTATATTCTGATTTTCATTTTTTGTCAGGTAGATACTAAGCCACAACTCTCTTCGTCTCTTACCTTGTACTTGATTCAATTGACTTACGCTGGAGACTCTTATGTATTGCCAATTAAATTTGGTTAGAAACAAGTATGCCTAATGATACTCGTTATCTCATTAGCCGGGAACTGATGAGTTACGGCATTCCTCAAAAATTCTAAACTCAACATCTATAATTTTAACATAAATAGGAAATTGTTAAGATAATGATAAATGCTCAGACTTGAGCCCATCCTCAAGCTATCAAACATTGTGATAGGTCTGTGTGCCACTCCATTTTCTTTTTTTTTTCTCAAAATGACTTCCATTCCGTTTATAACTTCTATTCGTGATACTGTCCATCATTTTCCATCATAGACCTTTAAGTTTTCCCGTAAACTAAATGCAATGGTAGGCCTAACTCACGCTTAATAGGAGTCTGTTGTAGTTTAACACTTAAAAATAGACAATACGTGCATTTATATTTCTTGATTAAGCAATGAGTTCACACTCAATGCTTAATGGACGATGACCGTATTTTATGTGAACTACAGTATACATCTGAGGTTGCTATATAGACCTATCAATCATGATTTTGATGATCAATTTGGGGTTTCGTTATGAGGCTACCATGGAGAAATTAAAAAAGTGTAGAAGTTCCTTCTTATTGCACCATTTTTAAAATTCTGTTGACAGTAACGATAACGGTAGACTGGTGGTGTAAACTGGCACTTTCCTCCAGGGTTGGCGCAGCGTGGATCTTGGGGGAGGGGGCAGGAACCGTTGGTGGAGAGAGATGGCCCCTGTGGAAAAACCACAATTCGTCGGGGAGAAAAAATGTATGTATTTTTTACATAGGCCTATAGGCCTATTATTAGACCCCAAACCGATTAAATAAGTCTCTGAAAACCCTAAATTGTCATATTTTTCGGGGGCTTTAGACATACGCCGGACCATGCCCATATATTTTCGTCGGGGACATTGGTCCCCTTCGGGGAACTGGAACCCCTCGTCGGGCAAACTGGCGCCACCATTCCTCTCTCCAAAATCCTGAAAGTAATGCTTTTAAATACAATGCCAATCTTGTAGAACAGACTCGTCAGTTTTCTAAAGCCATCCAATAAACGATTTCTTCATGAAATTAGAGAGGTTTGTTGATGTTGCTGATGTTACGCATACGGTTTCAATGTGTTCTTTAAAGTATATCGAACTGTTTACTAAAATTTTCCGTCCAATTTTAGGCTACAGTGTACTCAAAAGCTGAGTGCTAACTTCTGAAGGAAAGTTCGTTGTATACAATAATCTATATTAGTATTACCCCCAGGCCTCTTTATCACGTTATTAATTTTCAGGTCAGCGTGAATGCGAGTTCCCTTGAGTGTTTAAAACAGGTACTGTGAGTGAAATCTTTTGTGAAACAAAGTTTGCAAGACAAAGAGTGCAAGACAACAAACAGAAGTCGCTTAGACGTTTTTTGTTGAAGGTACTAGTTTAAGTAACTTTGTGTAAATATACATAAGCGCAGACCTACTTTCTTCCAGTTGCTATAGTGTTCTGACTATGCACCGTCGATATAAATATCTCTCAGTACTTTGAGAGCACACGCGTGTAAAATACGATGGCACAGAGCAAATTCACACCTGTATAGAATTTAGATAGGCTTAGATTGACAGTTTGTAAAAAAGGGCACGGGGCACAACAGTGTATTTATTATCAAATTAATTGTTGTTGTTGGTGGATCTCTCTTCAAATAATTCATGGGTGAATTACCGTAAGTGTGTGGTTTTATCGATGCATATAAAAGGTAGATACTAGTCTACCGACATAGTACCTTATCAACATCTAGGCATTCTAAATAAGGTCTGCATTCTTACCTTTACACCCAATTCTATGCCTATTAAGAATGTCAGTAAATTATTTATTGGATAATTAATTTTAACAGTGGTATTTATTAGCCTCCGTTGAATATGCATTAGTAGGCTAGGGCTTAGAACTTACTCAGCATAGAGTCTATTTTATACTTATTATGATTATCATCACTATCATTATCATCATCGTCATTATCATTATCATCATCGTCATCATCATTATCATCATCGTCGTCATTAACATCACCAACAACATCATTATCTACGTTATTATTATTAGT